CGAGTCGCAGCGCTGGAGAGCCCCTCTGACTGCGGATCGATGGTCGGAGCCAAGGCGGTCCTGCAGAACATTTGTCCGCACAAGCCATGCTTTTGAATCAAGCTCAATGGGTCGTACTTGTTTGCAAAAAGGGAAACAATCCTTCTAACCCTATGTACTGTACTGGTATCGGTTGGAAACTTCTCTCCCTCTTGTCGATTTGCAGAATTCTGGGCCCATGAGTGCTCAAATGTGCTCTAAGTTTCTTTCGGGGCTACACGCATAACATTTACAAGATGAACAGTGTGCCAGTGGGAACTCAAAGACAAAGCAAACTCGTAAGCAACTGGATAGCAATTGGCTCGATAAAGGCGTGGTGGCTGATGAGTTGGCTACCTGCTGGCTATTGCTTTGACTGGGACCGAACATTACTTTGCCGCAATTGCATTTGTCCGTTACACAGCTTTTAGCTCCAGGCCTGCAGAACAAGCTAAGGGACAAGCCCTGGCAGGCTCGCACATGCCGAAAAGTTGCGGGTTTGTTCAGTTCGACCCCCAATGGTATGACAGGTGTCTGGGCTGATCTCTTGACTGCCAAGGGTGCTCCTCATCCACCAGCCGATGTCATCGAAATCCTGCATCTCATTCAATCGAAATATGCGGTCTCCCCCGCCGAGAGGGTTCGCACGGCGAGCTTCGGCATTGGTAATCGTCTCCTGCACCCGGCTGGCTGCGCAGTGACTTGCTTCATGCGCCACGAACGCGAGAATCCAAGCTGCGTGCGGCATGAGAATTCAACCGTGATGTGCTCTGTCCATGCAATTTTCCGGAGAGTCCATGCAACTTTCCGGAGAGTCTTGAATGGTGCGCACTTTCATGGTCTTCCTACATTCTTCAACCAAGGCACTTTGATGAGGTTGGCTGTCTGAAAAGGACCTTCTGCCTCGCCCAGGGTCATCACCAGGAAAATGTAGGCCAGCCTGGGGTAAGACTTCTCGCAATCTTAGTTTCACAACGGATCGTCAAGCTCAATCCGCATTTGCCAGGTTGCCAAATTCCGAAGGTCAGCGGCAAAGTCCCGCAGGCCATCCGCATTCCTCAGCCAGGTGCGATCTGCGCTAGGGGCCCGTGGCAGGCCCTGACTTCTCACAGCCGTGTTGATTCTGTCCGACGTGCAGGCTTGGTGAACGAATCCCTCTTGCCAATGGCAATTTAGTGAGGGTAGCCGATGTTGAACCCTCTACTGCAGCAGATTGCAGCAAACTTTGACCGTTGATCTCATTCGGAATGCGTCACAGCTACCCTCGTACGAAGAACGTCGGTTGGATGGCGTGGAAACAACCCAGCCCCATCCGCCTTAGGCATACCAACTGTTGTTTCAACACTGTCCGCCGACCCGATGCTGTCTAGGGGGATGGGGCCTGAGAAGTGTCACTTCGCATGAAAAGATTTACGCAGCATGAAACGAGTTGAGGGGACGTCTTTGGAGATTATTGGCATCATCCTCATCATGGCTTGTGATGTCTGGGATGCGTAATCATCATACATCATATACATATATAAATGCATCATGCATCACATTGGGGTTGGTTCAAGGGATTTGTCAACCAGAAAAAAGACCATACGAGACTTAAGCATTAGGCGGTGCGGAGCCAGCCATGAAGCCTCTCGAATCTTGTCAACCACCACTGCAGTGACGAGCAGAGTTCTAATTTGACTGCGCCATCTTCTTCAGGGGTCGGTGGCACATAACGCCGGAAGGCCCTTCTTATAACATGGTGGCGTTCCTGGTCCTCCCTTCAGACCAGACCTCGAAGAGGGTGTCCTTCGAAAAACCGCTGCCCCACATGTTTGAACGTCAAGCCTGCTTCAAATGCCGCGTGGCCCTTCCGCACCGCAAGGAACTCCTCGAGCTGCGACAAGGTCACGCCCCCGTAGCTGGCATCCGGCTCCACCGCAGGTTGGCTGTCCATACCTCGCGAATCCGTCAGCCGAATCCAATCTTCTTAGGGGATGAGTCCAACAATAATTGTCAACCGTTCTTTTCCAATACTGACTGTTTTTCGTGGGTGTCTGAAGAAACCGATCCATGGAGAATACTGCAAACATTGCAACCATTATGGGAAAGCCGAGCTAGCTTTGACCACTTTGCATTCTGGCACGCTCCAGGTGCTTTTTGATGCCAAGTCCGATGAAATTGGCATATTTCTAGAGCAACTCATTCCTTGCATGGGTTAAACGGGCACCCGTTTCTATTCTTGGCACAGGGGTAAGAGAGCACATTCCTGTTCTGAAACTAAATGTCTGAAGAACGCACAAATTATGATCTGTGGAAACACGCAGGCCTCCACAACGTCCCCTTCATGAGGGTAAACAGCAATGAGTTGGCTGAAAAAGATGCACCAGGTGTGGCTTCTTGCCCCACCAGGACAAGAACCGCAGATGAGGGACATCAACAGCTCAAGTGTGGCAGTCCAACACGCGCCAACACGGGCCACTACAGAAATAAAAGGCGTACAGTGAGGGTCATTATGTCTCTTTCAATCACCACCCCACCCAGAGAAAGCTGATAGGTATGTAGTAGGACTATTGCCTTTCTGACGTCATCCGCCGGTGGGGGCAAGGGAGGCTACGAAAGCTACAGAGCCAGTCCAAAGATGCTACTTCATGATTTTGACAGGGGATGGCCCTACCCTCCACAAATGCAGCTCTTGGTTGCTTGGGATAAGGATTCTGATGGTTTGTGTTGCTTAACATGGGGAGACTGAGGATAAGGCTGGAATTTGGGTCAGGTCAGCGTAGTTTTTGTGCCTTTGTGCATGTGATTGTTGCACTGTAATCAAAGCGTCCAAACATGATCTAGGATTCTGCAAGCTCTCATGGCATCTCCAGCCAGGGTTCTATACGGCATCGATGCGCCGGAGCCAGTATACGAGCCAGAGAGTTGCGAGCCTCGGCGGGAAATGCTCGGCGCACCATTTGACCAGCGCTTGAGCATCCTTCGGAGCCTAAGTTCATCCAAGCGTCCAGAGTGGATGCTCCCCTCACCATCGTCAGACCCGACATACTCGCCGAGCTCCCTGGCCTCAAACACAGCGGATGAACAGTCTGTCAGCAACCACAAGAACGGAAAGCAAACCTGCCACTCGCCCGGCCCCAACAAATCATTTGGGTGTTTTTGACCAGGGACTTTTGGGCGGAGATCGCGCTGGGGCGTCCACGAAGCAATTGCTAGAGGGGTGAAGTAAGTGAAAGTGAGTCTCACAAATCCCTTTATGGCCAAAGCAAATCCGCCGAAAATGTGCCATCTCACCCATTGCCTCGTCCTCCTCCGCCTGTGCCACTCCCTGTTGCCGGGCAGCCTGGGAGACGCGCGGTGGCCCTTGACTCCCCATACCCCAAATAGATCTCCAAAAGTGAAGAATTCCATGAGAATTCCCAACGAACTGGAGGAACTATCAAGCAATGGGGTTGATTCGTCCTTTACCGTTGCTCCAGCTCCTTCTGCACCGACTGCTTAACCTCTGCATATGGAAAAAGCGCTTCCCACCCACTGGGCCAGGTGGCTAAAACCCAGGGCGAGATGTTGGAGTTCCGCAGGGGCGGCGGCTTGCGAGGCGGCGGTGCTGGGATCTCCGGCTGGGCGCGAAAGCTGCCTACGGCTTCTGGGTCAAAGTGGCATCCTCAAATCTTGCCCCCCAAAGTTGAAAAGAAAGGCTTCAAGGGTGCTCTATGGGGAATCCCTGGAAAATTCGGCTCACGAAAAGGAGAGCCGGTGTGAATGCCAGGCGAAGGTGGCACAGCCTGCAAGCGGCACTTCTTCGCCAGGTTCGTTGAGCCAGCCCCACCTTTCCTTCACACTATCACTTACCTACTAAGCGCAAATGTATGTTGAAGGGCCCCCCGAAGAAAAAAAAAGAAAAAAGGTTGGGTCGATACACCTTCCTTCCTTTCTTCCCTTCCTTTCTCTTCCTTTCTTCCCTTCCTTTCTCTTCCTTTCCCTTCCCTTCCTTCCCTCCCACCTTCCACCAAGGCGCCATCCTCGTTGGTCCAAATGGGTGGCACAGCGACCGCCCCAGGCAGTGACGTCGCCAGCGGGTCGTCTCCGCCCGAAACACCCTCCACGAGCTCCGCGCCCGGGGCGGAGCCGTCCGAAGCCCCAGGAGTTCTGGGCTCAGCGTCGGCCTCGAGCGGTACCCGTAGGAAGCCTTTGGGGGGAAACCGCCGTGCTTAGCGGCATAAAACCAAACAAAACCGCAAACGCGGTTTTGGCACTCGAGCATATTGGGATCCGATTGAGTCCGGACATGCAATTGGTTCCTGTAAAGGAGCATGACAAAATTAGGGCCCGTCCCAGAGATGTTAAATGCGAGATGGTGGTGAGTCCCCCCCATGTCCCCCCAAATGAACTACAGACAACTCAACATTTTGACCGAACCTCCATCGGATGAGAAGTATCAGCTATGGAAAAGATAACCAGGTGCGATGATGCTTCCGGAGGTTGTGCATTTGGCTTTTGAACGCATTGGCTGGCGACATTCTGGGAACAATGGCATGCGGAACAATGATGCAGCATTGGCTCTTGCAAATCGGGCTTTCTTGCCAGCTGCTCCAGCTGCATCCGAGCCACCATAGGGCCCACTCATCAACGCAAGCCTACTTTGCGCTATCTCCCGGGGTTGGCTGAGGTCACTAATGCTTTGGGCTGCTTGCTGCTTGCACGCTGCTGACAAAGGAGTTTGCGGAGATTTGCAGAATGTGTGTGTGTGTGTGCAAGCTCCCTTCACGGAATCCATCATTTCGGCCGCGAAGGCGAGACCTCTAATGGCCTCTTGTGAAACAGGTGAACATGCTCAGCTAGAGAGCCCTGAAGCCAGAAAAGGCAGCGGATCGCATATTGTGCAAGCCACTGGCCTCATGTTGCCTGAAGGGAGCAAAGGCAGGTTACTGTTTTACGTGTTCCTGGACAATGTGTGCACTTGCAAAACGACGGAAACAATACAACCATTGCAGCAAAGCGGCTAGTATCAGCACGATACAACCTGCGCTCCGAACAAGAATCCAGCAGTGAGTCTAGTGAAGCATCGCCGCAGAAACAAACGACTTGCTCTCAGTTAGCACAATCAGCCAGGTAGCCCACCCAGGGTAGCCACCAAAGCTCCTGTAGCAAGCTTTGGTTGGGCACCTGGCCAGAGCGAAGTAACTAGGTAGCAACGACTCCGACCTTTGGGCCAACCTGAAAAGGGTACCAGCTCTAAACGCGCACCCGTGTAGCATGGGTGAACGGGACCTCTTCCTCCTCCGCCGCCAGTTCCACAGTACTGGTCTCTCGAGCGGCCGTGGTGGTGAAAAGCGGCTCCAAGCTCAGCATGCGGATGGTCGAGACTTTGAACGCCTTGCAGAAGACAGTCTCTCAAGCTAGGCTTGTACCCGTTTGTCCCCAACAGGGACACGGGTACAATTTTGAGATGGCAAGTGAAACCAAAAGGAAACCCAAAAAACCCTCCTGTGCCCTTTTGCAGTTGAATTTTCTTTATGGGCCTGTTTTTCAACGGCCTTGCGCTTTGCGTCAAATGGAACCGATGTATGCCGCCTCGAACTGCTCCGCCGCGGTGAGAGCCAGGGACCGCTCGAAGGCCGCCTTGCTGCGCTGGGCGGCCTCGCGACGCGGTCCAAAGGAACTGGTTGAAGGTGAGACCCTGGCGACATTCCGATGTTCCCTTCTAAAGGAGGTGTGCAAAGACAAAAAACACATGCGGCATGTGCGAATAACTTTCAAGCACGGGCTCGCCTCCATGGCAGCTTGTGGCCCACAAAGATCAAAGGCAATGTCGAAGTGCAAGAGCTGACTGCCTGAAATGGCTCAAGTATGATTCAAGTATGCCATATTCCTATAGCTTGCCGTCCATTCGGGCACAGCCCCCTGGCCCCCCATGCCTTGCACTTCGCCACCTTCCAGGCCTTCGGATTGCATGCATCACAAGGGGCGGATGCTACATGCTGCATGCGGCCAAGTCTTGGCTGGCTGCCAGGCGCGTCTGTGACAATCCGAACCTGAGTATCCAAATTGAAGGCTGGCGCGGCAAAAAAAAAAACTGCGCAGTTGCAGGTGGCCAGCAAGAACGCTTTCATCCGTTCACAGTTGGCCTCGCTGCATGCCCCTCTTCGCATTGGCCAAGTAACGCCATGGACACCTACCTGGCCGACGCGAGCGATTCCGCTCGGCAAACTCTAGCACTTTCTGCCGAAGGGGCCCCTCTCAGATGCCTTCCAAATGGCCGCCAATCACCCCTCCCCCAAGAGCCAGGCCTCAGATGGCGTTGAGTCGAGCGCCGCCGCAGCCGCAGTGCGCATGATGACAGCCAAGGCATTGGAAGCCCCCTGCGACAGGTGCGCGGTGTTGAGCTCCTCAGTGCCGACCGAACGAACGGGGGCTCGGGGTCCTGAACGGGGCAACGGTGGCAGCGATGACGGTTTCAGAAAGAACCCATCAATTGCCTGCTTGAAAAGAAATGAGGGTCTGCTTTGGCCGTGTCCCGACGTGCCCAGAAGCGACTAGGTATTGCCTCTCTCCCTGTTCACACGCTTCAAGAGAAGGAAAGCACCAAAATGCAGACTATGTGATACATTGGACAGGGCACCCCATATAGAATGTAAATGAGGGGCGTGTTCCCAACGAAGCAGGGAAAGGGTCCCAATCTACCTGCATGAGGGTAGCAATTTCCGCCGCTGCCAATGACTGATTTGCAAAGGGCATGGTCGCAATCAACTCCTATGTGCTCATACTGCAAGTTGATTGCAGGGTTGGCATAAGCCCGTGAAACTGACTCAAAGCTAGATGGCGGCATTTTTTGCGGCCAAGTCCGGAAATCCTGGCCGTTGCACGTGCGGCCAGGGGACCGGTGTGGCAAAGGTCCCCGCATTCAGCAGCACCGCCTGGGCGCAAACTGGACTTTTCGGACTGCTGGACTTGCGAACAGTCTTCCAACAACTTGCACCACCCCGAGCTACCCAATATCTCCAAAACAAACCGTTGGGCTTCGGGGGAACCGCGGGCTCGTTGTCAATATGCCGGATGGCTCCGAGCCGCGTGGGTGCCCGTGCAAGACGCCTGTGGCGCGTCAGCCGCACATGCGCCGCTGCGGAGCAGCGCTCCGCGGCAGTGGCACGCTGAAAACACCCTCGGGGGGCCGGGTTGCAGGCGACGGTCCGTGGCCGTTTTGGCGGAAGGCAGCCGGTCCTGTAAAGTGGTTCCACATGACTGTGAGGGGTGCTTTTGGTGGTGATGGTCGAGGACCTTGGGACTTGTCGAGCTATCAAAAGAATTGGCCCTTTTTGTAACGCAGACGCTGGATCTCTTTCAAAAGCCTGGCGTGCACTCTTGCAGGATCTCTGACATTCAAAGACTGGAGCGAAGCAACTTGTCCCCATGCCTGAAACATAGCACTTGCCCCAAAAGCAGACAGCTCGCTTTGTTTCCACCAAGAGGAAACTCCTCCAATTGGACTGAAAAGGGAAGTGTAGGGACCTTTCAAGAATGGCAGGCAATCACAGCTTTGCAAAGCGAGGGGCTGGTCACAATAGATGCCTGCACAGTTGTCAGGCGAACCTCGGCCGCAGGCAACGCGCACTCCAAAGATAGGATGGCCATCGGCTGCCCCATCCCTTGACTTTGTGCTGAAAAAATATGAGAACACACGCAAACAAGCATCTTCCTGCAGAAGTGCACGTGCTCAGGCAGCTGGAGTTGTCCTGACACGCAAACCGCCATTTGAAGAGATCTGCAAGTAGGAGCAAAGCCCACACACAGAGAGGTTGCCCAAATTGTGCCCTTCCAGTGAAACGTCATCGGATGGATGCCTTTTAGTATCCCCTGCAAATGGCGGCGCTGGGGTCCAAAAGCATAGCGGCTATAGGTTTGACCCTTGGATCCATGACAGTCATGCGCAGCGAAGCCCTGCAGCCAGGAGTCCGAACACTCAGCACTGCTTCTGACAAGAAGCCATGGAATGAGCGCACGGAGCATTCCTCTGGACGCAGTTCTGATGAAAAAACATCTGGAGCTGCAAAGCCTTTCAATCTCAAGAGATCGGAGTGTGTTGCTTCCAGTATCTCTGACAAAGTGGCCAAGACCATTGCTGCATGACTGCTTCATATGCTGCCTATAACACGGCGAGCAGTAGCAGTAGCCTTACATTCATGTCAATGCGCCAGTGTTTGCTTCCGCTGTCTGGCCCTCTCGGATATGGCGCGCTTTTCTTGGCATTGAAACTCGTTATCCAGCCAGGCGTCATCCGATGTCCTCTAATACATGGGTACTACGGAGTCACGGGGCACTTGGATGACGCTGCGCATGACTCACGGTCCGAGATCAGGACAATTGCTGAGTCGCGGGCCAACTAACTAAACCTCTCCCAAGTCTGCACAAAAAGCAATCGCCGTGCTGCAAGCCTTTTGCTGGTCAGATGTGGCGATCACTTCTGCTCCTGGCAAATCCGCAACACGCTTTATGAATGGAGCATGGAGCAACAACAACAATAACAACAGGTGCTGCAGTCAAATGATGGGTCAAAAGGGGGGCCTTCATGGAACATCACTTTCAACTTTCCAACCCGGTATGAAACGGGGAACGGGGATGCTCATTAGCAACATGCTGCTGAATCGCAAGCCCCGCGCAAGCAAGCAAGCGCATGCACCCATTTTTTGCGGCCAAGCGCCACGTTGAGTGTCCGGTATGCCTCAAGACCGAAGAATCCGACTCGAGTGGAAAGACACGGTCCTCTGTCTCATGCCCGAAAGTTCCCTGACGTTCCCTGACGTTCCCTGGTCGCCAACCTGCTTTATGTTGGGACTGTATGCTGCCTTGTTGGGGAGAGGGGCATGAACAACACCAAGCCTTTTGCGGCAGGCGGTATTTGAGAGGGGCATGTACAAACAACCCTTGAACAAGGCCAGATCACTAGAGCGAATGCTTTGGCGAAATCAAATTGGCCACGTGAGGCACTGGAGATTGCTGCATGTTGCTGATCAAGCCGCAGATTCTGGCTAGGCCTGGCTGGTCCGTGGACCAGAATGCGCCTGAGGATGATCTTACCAGCATTTGTGCTTGCAAAGATCCACCCACGAGATGGCGCAGTCAAGGCGCCCATGCAATGCAGCGTCCTGATGAACTAAATGATCTGCACCTGCACACCGCAACGAACGGCTCCCGCCGCTATCAGGTAAGCTGAATTGAGATTCAAAGCGGCCTCCACGTTGCCATTCAAGGCTGCGCATTTACCGCCTCAATTGACTGCGGTCCATCCGTGCGAGACCGCCAAGGCACACATTTTTCTGCAACCAATGCCCAGCACAAAAAGAAATAAAACTAATTTGAATGAAGTGCTTGCCTTGCGAACCTCATCCTGTCCAAAAATACTACAAAAGCAAGCTTTTGCCAAGGTTCCGAACATGGGTGCCCCACTCCACGTGTAGACCTTGATGTTGCGAACTGCCTCAGCCGCAGCATGCTACAAAATTGACGCCATTTGCCCAAGCCTATTCTTGTCTTCACATGCTCAGCTTTCCGTGCAGCTGTGCGACGTACTCGCACTGGGAGTTGGGGTTGTTGCGCGCCTTGCAACCCGTCCACCTCAGAGCTTCAATTTTGGCGCCAAGCATCGAGCAAACTTTCAGCCCAAGTAGCCCTGAATCGCCGCCGAAGCCTGCGCTTGGCCGGAATCAGACAATCTCCGCTGGATATGCCACATTCTTGACGGTACGTGTTTGGGGAGCTTTCAATTTAGGTCGCATACTTTAAGCTACACCCAAGCACCTGCAAGGGAAAACCTCGATGCGCAGTCTCACTCAAGCCAAGCTGCCGTTCCAAATGTCAGACAGGAATGTGTACGGAAAGCTTGTGCCTGTACAGGGCAGCTGCATGCAAATGTGTCCAACTCTGAATCAATCTCCAGTCATTGCTTTGACAATAGGTTATGTTCATTGCTCCGCCTCTGCCCTTTGTCGGGTCCACCCGGCTCAAGAAATCTGGATAGAAAGCCTAAGCGAGGCAACAGCCATGCAAATGCACGTGAAGCTGCAGGAATTGCAGGCGCGCGATCCCTCCCTGTGCAAGCAGCAGAGTTTCGGCAGTTCGTAGGGCCAAGCTCGCAGATTTGCGTCCTTTGCGGGCAAGACTGCTGAGAAGAGCAAGCTGCGCGTGGACATGTGGAAACGATCCTCACTTCATGACCAATTCTTGGCTAGGACAGTCCTCAATGTCCCGCCGGAGGTAAAGGAGGTGGTGCCATCCTGGTTGGCAACCGTGAGTTGCGAGTGCATTGGCTTCCTCTTGCTCACCAAGTTGCAAAGGTCATAATGAAATGCTTTGGACCACCCAAGTTGTCTGCATTTCCGATCCTGGGGCCGTCATATGAATCCAAGCTTTCACCAAGTGCTTCAGTTCAAGGAACATTCTGGCATCGGCGGCCACAGCAAGGGCCGTTTTCTGATCGTTGCAAATGCTGGCCAATGGCCCAACCTGGGACTTTTTGCAGCCGAGCAACGCTTCTTCCTTGCAGCGCTTGCATGAAACACTTTTGGAACTCGCTGTTGCCAATGGGCCAACGCAGGCTGAGTGACATACCAATCAGTCAGCCCGCAAAGGAGCCCCATAAGCCATGCACAGTGCACGTATTGTCCTTTGGCTTGTGCTTGGCATCATTCATAGGCGCTTACGCGCTGGGGTCAAAGCCAATGCAGTTTTGCCGCACCATTCAAACAAGCGGCGTGGCCACCACAGGCAAAGTTAGTGTACATCTGTCCCACGGGGCAGGCTTCCTGAGGAGATTTCGCCGGGATTGAAGCCACGCAGGGAGCAAATTGGTGTTCCGGTTTTAAGCCGCAAAAAAAAAAAAAAACTGTCCAAATGAGCCAGCAACCGCATTTGACCCCTGCTTCCTCACGCCACACATTTGCTGAAACAGCAGCCAGCCACCCGTCAGCCCCACGCAAGCAAGCAAGCAAGCAAGCAAGCCAAGCCAAGCCAAGCCATCCCAAGCCAAAAGGCCAAGCCAAGCCAAAAGGCCAAGCCAGAAACCGTTTCCAAGCCCTAGAATCGTCCCCTTCTGATTTACTGGCTTCTGAAGGTTTGAACATTTCAAGCCGAAAGGCCAAGCCAAGCCAAGCCAAAAGGCCAAGCCAAGCCAAAGGCCAAGCCAAGCCAAAAGGCCAAGCCAAGCCAAGCCAAGCCAAGCCATCCCAAGCCAAAAGGCCAAGCCAAGCCAAAAGGCCAAGCCAGAAACCGTTTTCCAAGCCCTAGAATCGTCCCCTTCTGATTTACTGGCTTCTGAAGGTTTGAACATTTCAAGCCGAAAGGCCAAGCCAAGCCAAGCCAAAAGGCCAAGCCAAGCCAAAGGCCAAGCCAAGCCAAAAGGCCAAGCCAAGCCAAGCCAAGCCAAGCCATCCCAAGCCAAAAGGCCAAGCCAAGCCAAAAGGCCAAGCAAGAAACCGTTTTCCAAGCCCTAGAATCGTCCCCTTCTGATTTACTGGCTTCTGAAGGTTTGAACATTTCAAGCCGAAAGGCCAAGCCAAGCCAAGCCAAAAGGCCAAGCCAAGCCAAAGGCCAAGCCAAGCCAAAAGGCCAAGCCAAGCAAGCCAAAAGGACAAGCCAAGCCAAAAGGCCAAGCCAAGCCAAAAGGCCAAGCCAGAAACCGTTTTCTAAGCCCTAGAATCGTCCCCTTCTGATTTACTGGCTTCTGAAGATTTGAACATTTCAAGCCGAAAGGCCAAGCCAAGCCAAGCCAAAAGGCCAAGCCAAGCCAAAGGCCAAGCCAAGCCAAAAGGCCAAGCCAAGCCAAGCCAAAAGGCCAAGCCAAGCCAAAAGGCCAAGCCAAGCCAAGCCAAAAGGCCAAGCCAAGCCAAAAGGCCAAGCCAGAAACCGTTTTCCAAGCCCTAGAATCGTCCCCTTCTGATTTACTGGCTTCTGAAGGTTTGAACATTTCAAGCCGAAAGGCCAAGCCAAGCCAAGCCAAAAGGCCAAGCCAAGCCAAAGGCCAAGCCAAGCCAAAAGGCCAAGCCAAGCCAAGCCAAAAGGCCAAGCCAAGCTAAAAGGCCAAGCCAAGCCAAGCCAAAAGGCCAAGCCAAGCCAAAAGGCCAAGCCAGAAACCGTTTTCCAAGCCCTAGAATCGTCCCCTTCTGATTTACTGGCTTCTGAAGGTTTGAACATTTCAAGCCGAAAGGCCAAGCCAAGCCAAGCCAAAAGGCCAAGCCAAGCCAAAGGCCAAGCCAAGCCAAGCCAAGCCAAAAGGCCAAGCCAAGCCAAAAGGCCAAGCCAAGCCAAAAGGCCAAGCCAAGCCAAGCCAAAAGGCCAAGCCAAAAGGCTAAGCCAAAAAGCGAAGCCAAAAGGCCAAGCCAAGCGAAGCCAAGCCAGCAAGCAAGCCAGCAAGCGAAAAGCAAGCGAAAAGCAAGCAAGCAAGCAAGCAGGCAGGCAGGCAGGCAGGCAGGCAAGCAAGCAAGCAAGCAAGCAACGCCTGCGATCTTCCACCACCCTCTGTTCCAGCCACCCGCTGCAATCACAACCCAGAACCCCAACATCCCCCAAACCGCTGATTTTGACCGGGCTGTCTTATTTATGAGGGCTGCCTTCCCCCTGTTGAAGCCACCAACTTGCATTGGAATTGGGGTTCACACTCATCCCCCCCCCCCCAGCCGCAAAAAAAAAGAAAGAAAACAAGCCCCCGCCCCACCCACCAACTGACAATGAGCCTCAATCTGTGCCAAGCGAAACTGCCGCCGCTTGTTGCGTCGAGGCGCTACGAAGTCCACCTCCCCCGAGGTGGCTGCGGGGCTGTCCCAGGGATGTGGTGAGATCCACAGCGGCGCCGCCCACACGGAGCCGCAGCTGGCCGTGCTGCTCGCTCGTTTTTGCGCGGGCTTGCTTGGGGGAAGCGTCTTGTTTTTTCTCCCCACCCGACAAGTTTTGGGGTGTTGGATTTAAGTGACCCCCACGCAACCAGCCGACAGAGCCTGTGACAGACAGCTGTGACAAAACCTGTGACCGTGACAGAGCTTGTGACAGACAGCTGTGACAGAGCTTGTGACGGACGACCGGCAGATCCCAGGACAGCTGCGACAGCCCGAAGCGGCCTGAAGCTCCCACCAATGCTCGCGAGGACAGCCGCAACCGGCGACAATCTGAAGCCCACTCTTGGCCAGTGGCTGCGCGCCGCCACAGCCCAGCTCCCGCCAGAGGGCAGGCCAGGACAGTCTGAAGCCTGCGCCCGCGCCAGGACAGTTGCCTTGCCGCTTGTCTGCAGCGTTCCAGCTGACAAAGGTCCACGCGCCAGGCACGTAATTGAGCCTCTGGAGAGCATGCGTCCGCAGCTGAAGCAATGCCGTGGACTTTTGGGTCGGGCAACCTGTGGCCCACACGTTCATGTGATCCGTTGGTCCATACAGTCGGATCTTGGGGCTGCAAATGATATGCAAGAGTTTGCCTTGCCTCGAAGAACCAGAGGGCCCGGATGAAGGGAATCTCCACCAACCAAGAAGCGTGATTTCGCCAACAGCTACGGCTGTTATTTCTTCAGGGTCTGCGCTGCCTTGGTTCCATTTTGGTTTGGCTCCGTTTCTTTGCCGTCGCATCATGCTTGAGCCCCCGCACCCAGATCGATTGATTCTTGGTGCCTGTGTGGTTGCAGTCTACATTAGCAAAGCACATTTCTTGGGTTGGTGCAGTCAAAGCCCCGAACTCCCAACCGAGGAAAGCAACTATGTGCATATATATACATATATATATATACCGCTTTCCTTACAAGCCAAGGTTTGATGCAACTTGGTTGATGGAACAGCCCTGCGCAACTGTCCACTCAATCAGCAAGCTGTATAGCATCGTGCTTCATTTTAGAACTTCGGCTGGAAGGCATCTGAAAACACAAAATGAGACTTGCGAACCTTCACGTGCTACGCAAATGATTGCTCTTTGGTGCCAACTAAAACTCCCTTGATTAGAACCTGTTGGACAAGTCCCCCTCAGCTTGATCGCATTGGGCTTGCCCAACTCGCCTCTTGACGTCAAAGTCAAACTCGATGCGCTGCACAAGCCGAAAGTCCTGAGGCATCACCCATCTCTCGCATTTCTCCGATTCAGTTGCATGCAAGGACCCCGTTTCGGTGGGCTTGCCCACCTGGAGGTGTGCTTTCATGGTCAGAGAAAAAGTGGCATCCTCCGAATTTCCCTAAAAATAACAGAAATCACCCCCAAATTCAGAGCTTCAAGAGTTGAAAATGCACTCAGTTTCAGGGACCCCGACAAAGGAATGGGCCAACCTCGCGGGTAGCACGCCCTTGAGGCAGGGAGCCACGACGCAGGACCCGGCGCTCCAAGCGAAGCAGCCAGTCTTGGCGGCTGCACCCGCAAGGTTCACCTCAGAAACTGGGACTTCAGGGACTGCTCGGTTTCCTTTCGTCCCTTCAAAGAAGAAACACGTCGAGCTGTTTTCACAATGGTATCCCGGATCCCAATCCATCCCGATCCGTGATCTGTGGGACGCCACTAAGGGAATCACAACCACCTGGCAAAAAAATATGAATTGAATTTGAACAGCCCTGCCCATTGAACAAGGAGATGAGAAGCAAATGTAGGGCACAAGGGTCGGCTGTGGCAGGGAGCATGACGCGCGAATGTGCAACAATTGCAATTCACTTGCCGTCTTTGATTCCTTGCATGCCCTTGGCGCCCAAATTATGCAGTTGATTTAATCCGTGCTTTTGCCCAAGAGCAACTTGCAGGCTGGTGGCATATATGGACGAGTGGTCAGGCTGGCCATTGAAGTCCCTGCACATGCCAGCAATATCGCCTCGAACTGGGAGATTGCCTCAAGAAGTGCACGTGCGTTGAGTCAGTGCAACCAAAGATTATCCGACAGTTCGGTGAAACTTGGCTCAATTCCTTTGTCAGTTTCATAATTCCCTTGTTTCACCCAATTGTACTAAGCACGTGCCCTGCTGTTTTCCAAATATGAATCTGTCTTCGAAAGTCGACCCATTCAATGTGACATATTGGCTGCCAAGTTTCAGGAATTCCAAGTGCCGCTGCCGGCCTCAAAAGAGAGCCATGGCTGGAGAAACCACAAAACATAACCTTGAAACCAAAAAAAGGGGTCGTCCCATGAGAGCTTGCCCCAGAGACTGTGGCTGTTTCGGTTCCATGAAAATTTGCGAGGGGGGTCCGGGCTTTGAACTTGGCTCATATCACACTTGATGCTGTGACGCCGCGCCTCCCAAATCCAGGAAGCATCCCCAACGCTTGCCCAAGCGCACCCCAGTGTTCCAAACCTTGGCTGCCGATTTCAACGCAGCCAGCCTCCGATGAAAAGTGCCCACGCCCCACGTTCACTCGTTTCATTCCAGCCAAGCATCGGAGTGCCTGTGAGGTTTTGCGCGGCAGCAGGTACCAAAAGCACAGCTGCTGCCCAAATCCTCGGCTGCAGCAAGCCAATTTGCTTGGCATCGGGCGTTTCTGCTCAGCCCGCCTCATTGCGAACTGCTGCATTTGCAGGCAGTCGGCCGCACCCGCTCGAGCCACGTTCTGCGGCATTCAAGGCATCTGCAGCCTGAGTGTAGCAGGTTGATGCCAGGGATGGGTTTGAAAAAAGTGGCAATCTGGTTTCTTGACGATGTGTCGCCAAACCGCGTGCACGCCAATGCCAGGGCCACCTCCTCCACAAAGCGCTCGAAGGCATCGTAGGTGCTTTCCAAATCCTGACCGGACATCTTAAGGTGCCCATACCTTTCGCACTCTTCGGAGTCAAAAGCTCGGACCCATTCTGCGAAAACGAGTGCAGAAACAACACAATGTTCCAAACAACTCCGAGGAGGCATGGCATCCCTTGCCTCATTCGGATAGGGAAAGCCCAAGCCACCCGCTCAGGGGCAGGTTTTTAGGGGCTCTGAGTTCGAATGCCTGTGCCAGACAACACATCCACGCCCCGCCTCGGCACAATCCTGGGCGTCGTTTTCCCCGTAATGGAAAACTTGGCCCGGCGAGGCAGGGGGTTCCACCGAGCCTGACCGGCACCATGGGAAGCCTACTCAAAACTGCCAAGGTCGAGCTGGCAGCCAAGTGATACAAATCCCCGCCTTTGTCAGGTTCCCCTTGCAAAGCCCCCAGCACCCGGGGATGTACAAGGACCTGCTGCAGCCGATGCACCTGCAAATCTTCTCGTGAAGCCCGTTGAAACTTGTTTGGTTGGCACGCCTTCTGCACATGCCAGAGCATCCACGCCAATGCTTGTGCAATCGCATGCGGCCACTCCCTGCGAGTCCAAGAATACCAATATACCCGGCCTCCGCGTCTACATTGACAAGGCCACCCTGCAGGTCTACGGGACAAGCCCTGCTTTGCCAGCCCTCTCCCCTCTCTTGATCTCTACCTATGTCCTCTCGTCTTAGCAAGAGTTTCGGCAACCTACAGCTGTTGAAGGCGACACATCTCAGAAGGCCAACAAACGCTTGCTTTCTATTGCATCAATGGTCATGGCGAGCCAGGAAGTGCGAACAAACGCAGCCAAGAACGGTGATGGCATGAACACGCACTCACAATCAAGATGCGAGAACACCCCGCGACAAAGCAAGAGACACAAAACACTGGCTGGCAACAGCAAAATCGGACCTCGGGAATTGCAGTTTTCACATGTCCGCCCTTGTCATCGAAGACATCAGCCACCACGGACGGGTTGAACATCCAAGCAGTCATCTCGACGAAACCAGCGGTATTGTAGTTGGACGTGTTTCATCAGAATTTCGGACATCCACTGCATCGGGAGCATGTGTCAAGACCAAGGGCCTGAGCACACGAAGGAATTTGACCCTTGAACCCGCTCAGGAGGACGAAAAGGAAGCTGTTTCCTTGCAACATCCTCTAGATCACCTGGCTTACCGTCGAAATGTCCCATGGGTCCAACTGAATCCTTTGTTCGGGACCCTGCTTAAACCATGCCCAGGCAAGCCTTCGTCATTTTCCATGGGGGTTGCCATGATTTAAGAACCCTCCAACATTTCTTTTCGAGCATCCCCCTCCCATAACTGCCTTTATTTGGAGCCCGGGGTATGCTCACAAAGTAGTGTGGAGTGTTCTTCGACGTCTTGTTCCCGCCAGTAAATAGCTCTTGGTCACAACTAGGTACCCAAAATGGAACCCTGGTAAATGGAAACATGGGCTAAAACCTGCGGTCCCTGCTCAAATGGAATCATCACTTCGCTTGGGGTGGCTGGCTCTTCACTTCGCCTCTAAGCGGCAGCCCAGCTCCACCAGCCGGGTGTGCGCAGCCACGAAGCGCTGCACCCAGTCGTAGTCCACAGCCTCGCCTGGCGAGGCTGGCCCAACTCTCGTACCGGAATATGGGTGTGCATATGCGTGTGACCATGAATGCACACACACATGCACGCATATAGATACACACACGTGTATATATATATATATACATGCATCTACATACAAGGGTATGCGTCAAAAATAGCCCCCCCATGGTTTGCGTCCTTTGGCTGTCCTTCCAAACCAAAAAAAGAGTTCTCTCAAAAAGACAAACAGCCATACATGCATATCCATCTCTATCTACATACATATGCTATATCTATATATATATATATGTGTGTACATGTGGAGACGTACCGCTACCGCGAAAAACAGACAGGGTAGTTACGACGACATTTGCTTAGTTGTTCCCCCCGTCAGCAGTCTCAGCGGGCAGTTACTTTGGGTGCTGTGTGTGTGTGTGCGTGCACTTTTGGGCGGCCTCCTCATCTTTGTTTGCTGGGAAATCGACAAAAGTTTCGGGGGGTCCCCCTATTTTTTGACATACCCATATGCCTGTTCCTGCGATGGGCAAAAACCAAAATGGTTTCGTCCCCTAGTTGTTCTATGTGTTTTGTGTGAAGTTGAATCCCACAGCTTTTCCGCTAAATTTTGTGAGTTCCCCCTGTTTTGGGTGGGAATAATATTGGAGTTCCCCCCAAGTTTCTGCAGGCAATCTAGTGAGCCCCCCCCTCCCTGCGTCAAAGGTTTCGCTCCCCGTGTTGGAAAATTCGCAAGTCCCCCCCCATGTCCCTCCCAATACAGGAAAAACTACAGGAAAGGTTGACTGAATGTTGATAGCATGGCTTTTCTTCACATATTATCAAAGGGGCCAATGCCGGTGCTGAAATATGCGGAGAAAAAGGCTGTCAGTTGCCAAGCCATTTGTGCTCCTGTTATTTGGGCCTCTAGACCAGCAGGGTGCTGGCGCACATGGGGTTCCCTATACAGTTGCCTTGAGGGGCGCAGAAGTCGGAAGTTGGAAGCTGGGGCGAGGAGGGGGATAAAGAAGTCGACAACTCTGCAAAGTCATCTAACCGTCCTTTTGGTGGCCATGGAGGTCGACCGCTCAACTTTCCTGCCGACCAATAGACGAAGCCCACGCCGATGCCAACCACCCATAGCGCCTTCGCCGGTGTCCAAATTCTTCGCCAAGACTTCCAGCCTATGCTTCAAAGCAGTCGCCTGCATACGAGCTGTCCAGGTCTCAAACGGTCTTAGACCAAATGCCAAAACAAAAGCCTTCTTCAGATTGACCAAGGCATCTCTTGGATGATCGCTCGTTGTTTTCCACTGGGGCAGCTGTGGATTCAGATGATTGTACTTTGTTTCACATCACTCAATTACGATGAGGAACCTGTGATGCTGATATGCCAGGTGGTCATCAGAAAAAGGACACTCCTTGACACATCTCAGGCTGATTCAGTCATTCACCTTAGTCAAATGACAAGGGCTACCTGCATTACAACAGGCATTTTGGCTTGCAACCTGGCCACACTTTGAGAAGTTTCCAAGCGCTTCACGTCTGTGCCTCGGCGTGCTTGGCCGACCAGGGCGCCGAACTGTGCAGGGCCGAAGCCAAGATGGTGGGCTCCCGCATCACCGAGGGCGGAGACTTCAGCAAGCGCCACATGGCTGGCGCTTGCACCCGCGATGAGATCCAAAAATGAAAAGCGATCGCGAGTAACGGTGATGACAGGTGAGCTGCGATGCGCGTAACGTTGTATAGCGTGGCTGTTGCTGTTTCGGGTGTTCTTGGGGGTGCTTTGATTGGGAGGCTGGTGGCCTAGCCCGTTGCATGTCAACTTGCCCACCCCGTCCGCTTCCAGCCGACAGGATCACACCAACAGTGCAGCGCCTGGGTCAGAAACGACACAGTTTTTAAAACGACAAGGTGTTCCATGGCAGACCCGCGTTTCACATACAACCACCTTTCCCCCGCTTTCCCAAGCCACAGTCCCACTAGTGGGGCCAAACACAACCTCAGATTCAGCAGCCCGTTTTTTTGGCCTTTTGGCGCTGGTGAACTGCGAGACTGGCGAGTCATGAATCAAGAAGAGTGCTTTGGCTAACTCTCAGTCCAGTCTCAAAGAAGTGTCAAGTTCAATACAAGAACCATGGCCCCATGGCCGAGAGCCGAGTCTTTGCCAGCCCCGGGTCTTGTATCCGATCCTCACTTCACAAAGGGCAGTCTGGGCTGCAGTGGCCCGGCCTCAATCAAGGGCGCAAGGGCGCAAACAAGATCGATGCCACGTTGACTGCACAAAGGCAAGCACCAAGCTGCTGCTGTCATCGACCCATCTGCGAACGCATCTGCTGGATGAGATTTGCTTGCAGCTCCTTGATCGCAAGTTGTGCTCGCTGTCGGCACAAACAATAAAAACATGATCTCCCCCCCAAACACGTCCTGCCGGACTCGCTGCGCTCCCTCATGCATGACACGGGCAGCAATCCTGCACGCTTGGTGCTACAAGCATGCCTTTTGCGTCGTCTGAGGTCCTGTTTCCCGCCCCTGTTTATATATGTATACATGTGTGTGTGTACACAACACTCACGCCCATCTGCACATGCGCGTTCGCTTCTACATCCATATGTGTACATATATGTGGACTTACTTCAACACACAACACTTCCATGTGTGCGCATTGTTAAACTCAAAACTACTTTACAATGTTGACGTGTGTACAAGTGCAAACACACTAATAAACTAGCCAGAAAAAAAGAAAACAAACACCTGCTCTTCTTGGGGCAAAGAGACCTACGCAGGTGCGCGCACTGTCAATTTTGGACCCGGAAGCCTTTCAATACCATAAGTTAAAATGGTGTCCTGACTATTCACGGAAAGTATTGCGTTTAAGGCTTGCGCTGACTCCCGACAGATTCAGTCTTGATGAGTTGGGCGATCCGAAAGAAGCGTCAGCTGCCAGTTTCTCTACCAGATTATGCACGAAGCTCAGCAAGTTCAATCAACATCGTGCCAAAGATGAGCAGCAACATGCAGCCATAGACACAGATTTCAGCCATGCGAGAACATCAGTGATTGAGCATGATAATTCGCCCCATGCCTGCCACACCGATTGCACTTGATAAATTGGCTCGCGGTTGACCAAATAGAGTCTTTGGAAAACAGGTAGGTGGCTGGCTTGTCTGACTGAAGGGCAGTAAGCATAAAAATGTGGCAGCAGCTATTGCAATAAATAGGTCCTTGAGGTCAAAAGTGACAGTTCAGCTTCCATTCAACGTGAAAGCCGCGCCGTAGCGCAGGGCAGTAACCATGAAAACGTGGCAGCTGTACTCGCAAAGAGGTCAAACGAAGGAATACATCGGTTCTTGAGGGCATGACTCGCAGTTCAGCTTTCAATGCCATGATGCAACCTCCTTGCCGCCGCAGCGCAGGAAAGTAAACATGAAAATTTGGCAGTGGTACGCATGAAGAGGTCAAACAAACAAATTAGGTCCTTGAAGCCACAACTCGCAGAGCAACTTCTTTTCAGTGCAACACCCCTGCTGCAGCGTACTGGCCAAACCACGGTTGCACTTCTTGAAGTTGAAATCAACTGCGGCCATTTTCCCATAGAATCCTGCACATGAGAAATACGCAATGGTCAATTCTGGATCCGTTCATTCGGCTCACAGTTCACCAGGTAGGGTCCACAGGTAAGAGGCATAAACTCATGCTGACGTTCTGAAGCATACACTTGCACATTACATTCATAGCAATAAATGCCCATCAATGCTCAAGTCAAACCTGCCTGACACACACACACACACACATACATCTGCACGCGTATGTAGACACACACACACACATGTGTGTGTGTATGTATATGAGTAGATGAATCGTGTAGAAATATCTGTCTCTATGTGTGTATATATATATACACCTGTGTTGCATTTGTCTCTCTATATCTGTCTATATATACATATATAAACATAGCCTGTCCAGAACCTATCCGTAATCTGTTTAGTCCTTGTTTTGGTTGATAATCGTCTTAATCCTCAATCCGCGATGCAATGTGTGGTTCAGAACAATGTTGGAGCATGGACAATTCATGCAACCCGTTTTGGCGGGGTCCCCTATTTTGAGACAAGCCCGAATCTATGAAACATGTATCTCCCTGTATGCACATATAGGGCATGTATACACTTGTAAATAAATAAACAAATGAATAAATAAAATAGATAGAATAAATAAATAAATAAATAAATAAATAAATAAATAAATAAATAGAGAGATAAATAGATGTACATTCTAGTTGTTCAAAACCTAATCCACAATGATTAGCGGATTGCGGACTACGCGGCTTACGGATTTGATCATGCGGTTGGCAAACTACGTGTACGATGGAATGGCTCTGATGAAGAAGGCTGGACGGTGATGTGGGTCGACATTGGTTAGGGCTTCCAGTTCACTATACTTGAGCCATTGCCTTCGTTTCAGAAATGCTCAAAGGCGCACTGCCCCGGGTGGTTCTTTTTGGTTCTCCTTTCAAGCAGCCCTTTCTGGGGGGTACGAGGGGCACACCCGCCCTCCTGCCATTGACGCCCATGCGTGGCTGCGGCTTGAAGCTGCCCGCCGGGATGTTCCGGGGATTCTTCCTGTGTGGAGGTCAGGAAGGGACTGGGGCTGGGCCAGCCGGCAGTCTTTACAATCTCAAAAGAAAATTGCTTCAAGAACTCGCTGATTTCAGCAATCTAGACATGTTTCATGTTTCAACAAACTTCAATGCTAAACATGTCTAAACATATTTCAACATAGACATTTGTTTGCCACCCTTTCTTTGGATTGAAAAGAGAACGGGTGCCAAAAGGAAATGGGGCAATATGGGCTAGTGATTTGTGAAGAGCTGTTCACAAACAACTTGCTGGCCAGAACAGCATAATCTGAAACTGGACGTCCAAATCCGGCCTTTGCAAATACTCTTTGGGCCTCTTCGGCCCTCATCTCAATGGGCTTCCCCCTTTCTCTTTCTACCCTTTGGGGCCGGAAACCGTTCAAAACGGCCAGTTCGAGTAAGGGCAATATTTGGGTGCATGTCTTGTTTTGGCGCACCTCGCAAAATGTTGGGGTTCTTTCTAGTTTGGCTTAAAACCAACCCAAAAGGGGTTCATGAAAAACAAAACACTCATATGCGTCATATTTTTTCCACTGGTTGCCTATTTGCTTGCTGTGTCGTACTAGTATTGCTTAGAATTGGTTGGTTGCTGGTTTAGACTTTTTTGCCAAGAAAAGCATGCTGTCTGAAATTGAGAACTCTGGATTGACAAAGGCCACCCTTTTTCCGGGTGTCTGCATACTTTCCGATCAGGAGTGGCTTGGGGTTGGTTTATGGCTGGCATCAGCTTGGTTTAGGGTGATCCTGGTCGATTCATAGAGGGGCATCCCATGGCATCCCATTTTAGAGGCAAAGCTTCCCTTTTGGGGGGAACACCCCGCCCCCATCATCCACTTGATTAATGCGGGTCGACAGTAGTCCCCGTCCCCTGCTGCACGCAGCTTAGCGGCTTTTGCCTTTGGTCGCCATTGCTGTCGCTGCTGCTTCCATCCTCGCCTCAGCGACCAAAGTGAAAGAAGCAATTGCAAACGAATCAGCACGTGAGGCCTTAGGCCATACTGCTCATTTTTGCGATCCCCACCCGAGCACGCAAAACCCGAGCTCGAACAGTGCCCAAGTGCCTGTCTACCGTCTACCCAATAGCTCAACACGAGGGCGGGTGCCTCAGCCATCGAACACCGCTTTGCCGAAGGGCACAGGCGCTCGCCAGCAACGATCTTCTTCCTTGGCCCCGCGGTTTGAGGGGCCTTTCGAGACTTCAGGTTGGCAGCCTGTCGTGTTTCAAGGCTACCATTCTTGGACGTTATAAACAGGAGTCAAAAGGGAAACCAATGACTTCGAAGATTGCTTGCTTTAAGACACACCGGCCTAGCCTGGCAGCCTGGCCCGCACATTGCCGAGATTCACCATGATCATCACGGTGGCTGATGGCTTCACAGCATCGGCCAACACCTTGCCGAGATCTTTGTAGTACCTGCACTCTCGGGCTGGTTGGTGACCAGCCCTTCACATTTCATTTTGAACAACTTCCGGCCTGTACTGCTTTTCCTCATCCCATCTGGACAGCACGTCGCACAGCTTAGACTCGGCTTGCTGGTCCAGCTTGTGTTTCTTCACCAATCTCCTCATCCTGGGATCCTCTGAACAGTAGACTCACTGCAATGTCACTGCATTTCTCCCCCTACAGTCACCTCCCAACAATCTTGGCCCCCTTGCAACCTTATGGCTCTCTCTGCTGGATTTTGGGTTGTGTCACGCTCGTTGATAGGTGCTTTTTGGTGCTCTCCTCGCGCACCTCTGAGACATCGTTGGCCTCGTGCCTGCCCACGAGTCTGCTGTTTTCTCAGTTTTGATCCAACCAATGCAAAACGCTGCCACCCTGTTGCACGAAAATGGGCATCCTTTTCGGATGCCACGTGAACCCTCCAGGTTACTGCCATGTTCTGAAAAGGCCATCTCGCCTGGTGGAGCCAAAGTCCGGCTGGGAAGCCCCATCGCCCTCGTCAGCAGGAACCAAGAACACTCCGAATAAAATTCCTCCACACTCAAATGAGCTCTGCACATCGATTCACGAATCGATCTCCCAAAAACATACCTTGCCTCGGCGGTCTGCTTCCTCTTCCTTGTCAAGGCCGGGGCATGCGATGCGCACAGATGCAAGATTGTGGCCAGTACCACCGAACTACTACCTCCAGGGCTGTCTAGTGATGGCTGCATTGTCATGGCTGTATGGTGCTGGCTGGAAAGATGTGTGGTGTAGGATCGAGTGGTTGCATATCCCATTCAAACCCCTGGGGTGGGTACTGGCTGGACAGCCTGGGGTCCGGGCCCCATCTATTCCGCGCGCATCTCACGGTGAGGAAGCCTCGACCTTGGCCCTTCCAGCCAACTTTGGAAATCCAATTCAACTGAGTTGAGACATGAGCGCGCTGTAAAGCAAGGAGCAATCCTTGATTGAAGGGTCGTAAAATGATCCAAAAGCCGGTCATGATCCGCTTTCAGCCAAGCTCCCATTTCAAAACTGACAGCTACCTCAAGCAATATTCACAGTCTTCGATGGTGACAGTCTGACAGCTGGCTAGCAAAGGTCTGCCATTTTACACGATTCCTTCTTCTTTTAGCATTGGTCGGTTGTTGCGGCGTTCAAATTTTGGGGACTTCCAAACCTCCGCCAGTGTGGTTATGCAATAGTTGCTTGAACCAGCTGCGAGTGCAGATGGGGGTCTAGGTCACGTGCAACTTTACGTGGCGCAAGAGTATACACCAAGTCCGCCTGAGCCAAGCTCTCGTCACTGCGGTCCCCTGCAAATCGCATGAAGCAAACAGGGCTGTTCAAAATCGGGCGGTCTTATTCGTAACCCGTAGTGGGAGGACCACTACAAAAAAGAAAACCATCTGTAAACCACCATTGAGGATTGATTTTCAGCAACTCAACTACGAGTCAAGCTGGCCTCTTTTCGATAAGCTGCAGCGCTTCTGCAGAAACAGCAATGCCAATGGTGCGAGCCATGGGCAGAGCGGCGGCCCAATTCGGGGCGGCCAAGTGCTGCCACAAGTTGGAAAGATCGAACGACACGAAAGTGCTGCATGCCGAGAAATGTTTCCAACATGTGGGGCTACAAGAAGACCCGAGTTTCCGGGCTCAAACACTCAAATAAATTCTTGGCACTGTACACGATCACAAATTCTTGGTGGTGGCTTTTCTGACCTAGGTACGTCTGCGTTCTACTGGTGCCTTCTGGTAGGCGACGCAATTGTGTCTCCGCTTGGCATTTCGGGTGCCCCTTTCGCAAACATGCGAGCGGTCATGTTTCGCTCCGTTGGGATGCCGGCCAGCTTCTTGGAGCCTTTGGGCAGGCGGAGGATCTCGGCCATGTTCAAGCCCTGGCCAACTCAGACTGGCCACCTCCCCGCGCAAAAAAGACAAAAAACAAAACACACCTCCCCCCTCTCCCGCGTCGGTCGATGTTCGTCCTCAACAAAGGGTGGCTTCAAAGGCAAGGTGTTTGGGTGGTCCCCCCCCAAAAAAAAGGTGTGCACAACTCACTCTTGCCTGCCTAACTGACTGAGCTCTGAATGAGGATTCGGGGGGGTTGGAAAATGGACTCCCTTTTGCGATGCCAAAGTTCAACTCATGTCTGTTGAGAAAAAACAACGGAACTTTCTGTTGACCACCTTTTTCGATCTTCCCAAATGGCAAGTCCAGAAACTGGGGAAGCCTTGGCTTATAAAACCCGAAACCCGACAAATCCCAAAAGGAGCCGTAGTTTTGACGTGTTGACCCCTGTAGAGACCTCGCGGCAGGCCTCTAGCAAGCATGCATCCTCGGTGCCCGGGCTCGGCCATGGATTCTGAGAAGACAAGCTAAGGATCACATGAAACCCCCGGCCAGTTTGTCGTGCAAAGCAATGTGGAACCCAAAAAGGTGGCGCCTTCTCTAAAAGTGGACAAGTCACTTAAATGGGTTCCATATTCATTTGCTGCACCGGAACTATCGCGGTCAAAGGCGCCGGAGTGAGATCCGCCGCGGCTTTTCGGGCCTCTCAAGATGGGACACAATCCCAAATATCTGCCTATAACAAACAGAGCCTCCACATCTGGCACTTGGGTGATTTGACTGCCTGGTTAAAGGTACTCCGTGTAAAGTGCTCAGCGCTTGGAACAACTGCATGACGAATTTGATTCTCTCCTGCACCTAAACCACGCCGAAATAGGCCTGCTCGAACATCTCTTGTTGAAGTCCTCGCAAATCTTCCAGCCTGCCACTCACATATGCGCATTCGTGGAAGTGCCCAAGGGTAAGTGACAATGGGGAAGCGAAAGAGGGAGGGAGGGGAGGGAGGGGACGGGAGGGGACGGGAGGGGACGGGAGGGGACGGGAGGGGACGGGAGGGGACGGGAGGGGATGGGAGGGAGGGAGGGCTAAATCCTTCAGAGCCCCCTATGCTCAAAAATTGGACCATCGTCAACCCGTCTCTCTTGCTCTATCGGTGGTGCACCATGCTGCATTAGCTGCTGAAGAAAACTCTAGTCAATTGCGAGAACTCGTAGTCCGCAGTGCCGCACCGCTTTTCAACATGCCTGGCCTCTTCTGATGAGCTTCTTCCTGCGCGACAACTCTTGAAACCAGGTATCAGGCGAGAAGGCGCTATTCAAAGTATCTCAGATCCAATTTGGTGCGCCTCTTCCAGCCACTGGTCTATTTCAAGCGGAGTGCCTCAGCGCACGCTTCAACTCCCCCGCAAAAAAAAAAAAAAAAAAAAAAAAAACAATTTGCAGATTTGCAGCCTGCCATCTCTTGACTCGCTTGCAAAACGACCAGAGCTGCTCCCTGAGGCCAGCCGCTGGCCTCCAGCAGCTGAAAGCCCTGCCAAAGGTGGCACCCCGAATCTCCGCGACAACGCTTCCCATCCGCCTCTGGGTCAACACCAGCTGGCCTCAATGGGGCCCGGAGCCACGGAGCCACGGAGGCATTGCAGTTTGGCGCTGGGGAGCGCACCACTAATTTGTGTTTGCTTGGCCCCTGGCGTCAGCTTCAGCTCGAGCCCGTTCAGATCCCTCCACAAAGCCTGCGCCAACAATGGCCACGAAGCTGCCAGGTCCGTTGGCTCAGTCTCTCAAGGCATCACATGTCACGGATCTTTTCGCGCCTCTGCATCTTGCAAGATGTCGTTAGGCCTGTCGACCACCTCATTGCATGGTGCAAGCGGCCGATCCCGGAAATCGCCGGACAAAACAATGCTTGCATCGACAGTTGCAAGATTTTCCCACCCCATGTCGCCAACCTGCCCAAGCCTCAAGTGCCCACCAAGCAAATGAACAGCAGTGGCTCCACGCCTTCAGTTCAGAAGCTCGCCGACTTCTCCTCAAATTGCGGCCAAGGGCACTGAACTTGCGCGCATGGTGGACAACTTGCCACACCAACATGACATGCCTGTCAAGCTTCCCTTCTGTTGGAGTGGTGGGGGCCCCCTCCCCAGGGCCCACGCTAAAAAAGCAGGAAATAACTAAACAAGGTTGCAATGAGGGCTCGTTCCCTGGTTTGCTTTTGGGGAAGCATGGAACTCGTCCCGACATGTCCCTCTCAGATAGACCATGGACTACTTTTTGGCTTCCCCTTTGCGTCGACTGCGCCGCGCGGTGCGTGACGGGCCGGAGGCAACCAATGCCGCCCAGAGGCCGACAAAGGCACACCAAGCAGAATCTGCTGCCCGCGCCCCAGCAAAAATATCTACCAGCTGTCCCGCCATGTGGCAAGGGACAGCCAATTACTAACACACTGGCAATTAATTTGACAAACGCGGTTGTACCGCGAAACATGCACATAAATGGGCAACGTTGTAGTTGCCAGCATCTCACACTCCACTGTGGATGTCATCTGCGCTTATCACGCCGGCACTTGCGAAAACCGGAGCTCATTCCGTTCACGCAGCCCTTCTCCAGCCCCCCACACGCTTCTCGCACCTGCACCTGCGCCAAATGATCACGAGTGCCCGCGACTTCTAACTGCTGCTGCCAAATGGCTGGTTGAGCAAAATGACCAACTTTGCGCATCGGCGTGTGTTAAAAAAACCCTCCTTCGTGATTTAGCAGCGAAGGAGACACCACATAACAACCGCGCTCACGGATTTCCAGGCCGCAGCATTGCCCCACTGCCAGCTTTGCGCCAGTGATGACCATATAGCCGCCATGCCTCGCCTCACCCCACCTCCTGATGCTTTGGGTGAATGACATTGACAAACTCGTAGCTACCGTGGGAACCTGCAGGCTGGGGCCGTTGAACAAATGCAGTCATGCCCACAAACAAGACCACTGTGCACATTCCAAGCGTAGCCGCACACCGTCTCAAAAACATCCGACAAGTAGTCCCAAATCTCACAAATCAGGCATTGACAAACATGGCACCCGAAATTGTGGAAACGGCACTGCCAATTCAAGGTTTACCATAGACTACTGCAAATGTTGACCGAAACAGGTGTGGATTTTAGGGTGGCTCTTGGCCTAGGGTCTTGGGTGTCAGCTTAGCTCCTTCGCGGGCCGACGGGCTGCTGCAATGGTTTCTGGCTGTGAAGATTCGTTTAGGTCGTGTCATTGATCACGGGAAGCTTACACGGGATTGGTTTGAGGCCGAAGGCTTGCCTCACGTATATAACTGGTTACGAGCCGAGGCGTGTGTCGGGCTCGCTTTCGGTCAGCTGGGGTGAAATGCTCGCGTGGTAGCGGAGCTGCTCTGGTTAAGACGACCAGGTGGCTTTCGTAGCAGGAACGCATTGATGGTCCTTGTGTCCTGAATACTTTGCGTTGTATTTATCCACAGCTGGTATTGATGCAGGGCGGTCAGCCTGTCACCACTTGACACAAGCCATGTGCAACTTGTCAGAAGTTGACATGAATGTTATAAACCCGAGTCTATCATTCAACCATCACACACACAACACCACAGGCCAAAAGCAAACCAGCCGCCACTCCAACCGCAACCCTAAGCCCGCACTAAGACTTTCACACACCACCCCAAGGCCAACAAACCCTTTCCAACCTGAGACCCCAGTGACCGCACTCCTCAACCAAACATTGCTGCATTATGTCCAAAACTCCTCTTCTGCGTCTTGTCATGCGCAGCATTTGCGGGGTTGGTGGCATGGACGCTCTCGGCTTGCTGGCCTCAGAAGGCTGAGCAGCTGGTGTCGACATTAACCAACAAAGTGAGCTGAAGCTACATCTGCAAGGCTTCGGTTGGTCGAGGAAACTACTAGGAATATACTAGGAATGCCACATAGAAAAAGAGTCATATGTAAGCCTTTGCCGGCCTGGATTGGGCCTTGCTCGAAACATTCGCAGAAACCACGTCGGATGCTAATGCCTTGAGCTCTGAGGGTGTTGCCTGCGAAAAGGATCTGCGCGTACAGCTCGGCGAACTGCCGAGGTGGTTGGAACTCGCCAATCGCCCCAGGGTCTTATTGCGGCTTAGTGATGGAGATTTCGAAGGATACTTTGGCCTCCCTGGTTCCCTGATTCCCTGGTTTCTGTGCCTCTACACCCTCTCCAAACCAACAGACTGGCAATGTTTTCTGATAGTGTCACAGACTCAAGTGGCCCGCGGTGCTCTGATTCAATCTGATCTGATGGCCTGTTGCTTGGGCAGCTGATGTTGCTACCCGCCTAGTGGGCTCCAACGAGTGTGTCTCTGTCTTTCCGTTTAACTTTTGAGGGTGCATGTTTCATCTTTGCGCCATTCAGTCGCAGTGTCCCACTTTGCAAGCCTCAGAATTCAGTCAGCATGCTGCCAATAACAAGACACCCACCCGGAATGTGAGTGACAAACAGAAGATGCCGATCTTCTTTGAACAAGCTTCCAACTTCTCACTGATGCGCGCAAAACAGCACCACCATTGGCTAATAGGGGGTAAGAGCCCTCACATCAAGTCTTCGAGAGAGCATGCTGACTACCAAGCCCACTCACTCCAAATCCCGCTGCTCTCCATGAGGGGCAGACTGAAACGCAAACAAAATTTGGAGGCCAGAAGATCGTTTATCTAAAGGGCACAGCAGAAATATTGCTGCAAACCCTTAAACAATCAAGGGTGCTGCTCCAGAATCTGCCATCAGAAGAGTCGGTTGAACAAACATCAAATCGGGCAGCCTGTGGCAGCAGTCAATAGGCCGAAGCGCGCACATTGCGCACAAAAGGCTGGGGCACGTGCTGGCTGCACCTGGCGTCCATCTCTTCTTGAACTCTAAAGCTCCCTTAGAGTCCGCATCATTTCAAGACTTCATGCCCAGTCAAGAAGGGGGCGCAAGACCTCTTTTCCAGTTGAGGTCTGGAATGACCAGCCCCAGCATAGCAATTGCCATCCGATGTACCCTGTGACTGGGCCGGCAAGGCCCGGCTGCGTGCCTCTTGCCAGTCCTCCTCCAGTTGGGCTTGCCTCGGCTCGAAGATCTCCAAAAGCAGCAGTGGTTGATAGCGGTTGCTTGTCGTCTGGGGCTTCCATTGCCCGGTTTGTTTCAATGTGCTGGAAAACAACCTGACGGATGCAGAAACGGTGATAGCGCTTCATTAGACGAACTTGGGCCATCTCCATTTTTCGAGCCGTCGCAAACGGAAAATGAAACTATCTCAAAGTTCCAGTCACCCCGCCCCCAATTCCATTTTCAAGGGGGTGCTTCTTCCGTCTGAGCAGCCGGGCCATGTACCGGGCAAAAGCTGCTGCAAAGGCACTTGGCTGAGGCGCAAATGCTCCTGAAGCCGTTGCGCAAGCCGGGCAGGGAATCCCACTGCCTGGTTTGCGCTTAGTCTCCAAATAAAGCATCCAAAAGGGGATTTTGACGCATCTCCACCTTTATGAGATTTTAGGACTCCTGGTGTGATTAAGTGCGAAGCTCCTCCTGCATCTCCTGGGCCATTTTGTGCGCGTTCTTGCGAAGCTGCTGGCGGACATCCTCAGCGATTCTACCTGCCTGTCCCAAGGAGGACCTCACCTCTAAAACCTCACAGTTCACGACGATGCTCCGTATGCCGAACGAAAGTTGCGCAAACCCAAACGGGTTGGGATGCTGGGAAACTGATTTAATGCCTTGGGCCACAGCAATTCTGGTCTTTTCGCAATGCTCAATAGCATCGAGAATGGCCTGGCGCACACGTTGTTCCACCTCACTAGCGAACATACACCGGGTCGGGTAGCGCCAACAAACGTGGCGCATCACAAGATTCACCGCTGTCCATTGACAGAGCTAACCACCAGATGCGCAAGATACCATAATCGCAAACGAACACAGCCCAAACGGACGCCGCGCGCCTGTCTCTGCTTCATAGCACTATCCATACGACCTTGGCACGGGGCCAACCGCGGCCAATGGATGACGATGGTGAGCCATGGTGAGGCATGGTGAGTCATCTTGTTGTTGACTGGTTCGCTGACCCCGCCAACAAAAGATGAAGAAAGAAAACTGACCCCAAAATAGCAGCTGCCCTGCGCTTGCTCGGTTCGCAGCCTCTCTCAGCTCGAAGGTCGTGCATGGTCTGAATCAGCTCGGCCTTACGAGCAGCCCGTTGTGCCGGCCATGCAATGTGCAATCCGGTCATTGCAAAAATCATCCAAGGCTTTGCCACGCGGGTTGCAATCATCTGCCGCCAAGTGATACAACTGATACAAGCACCAACTGTTGCAGGTTGCAAACCTTGTTGGTCACAGTTCGCCATGTTAAAGCCTAAGAGTTAAAGTGATCTGACTCCCGAAGGCTTCCGAAAACATTGAGCTCCGTACCCGCATGGCTGTCTGCGCCCTGAGTAGGGTCGCATGTGTCCCACTAGGCGCAGAGCAAGAATAGTGATGCTCTGACTTGTTGGTGTTTCTCAAAATAGACCCTAAAAAAGGTTTCCTCGTGGTTTCCTTCTGGTTTCCCTTGAAAAGGGTTCTCTATTTTGACCCAACGCCCCTGGCCCGGGCCCCCTGTCACCGGAATTCTTGCATTCGGACTGAGCTGCTGGCTTCATCTGTTCGTGCGTGTGGCTGCCCGCCCTCGGCCATAACTCGGCGCCAGGTTACTCGGCACTCAGCATGCTGCCGAGGCGCTCGTTTTTGCTGCCGTCCTGGCCACGGGGTGCTTTGGAAGAATCGATGAATTCCGCTGACGGAAATGACTGGAAGGCTGAGCGCTACCCCGGTCCCACATTAGGAGCGCTGATGGAAACCCGTGCGCTAAGCCAAACCACCCCGAATCAGGTCACTCTGGTCCAAAAGGCCCCTGACCTGAGTGCCTGGCCTTGCCGTTCTCACTGGCCAGCAAGTCCATCCTAGGGATAGCCCGAGTTGCCCCAACGCTGCTGAAAACAAGCACGCCAAATACAACTAAATTGCCCAATGCTACTGAAAGCTCTTGAGGTCGCGGCACGTTCTCCTTGTTTGATGACTCCAAATTGGCATCAACAATCCTTGTGCAGGCACAGGCTGCTCTTTGGGGAAGTCTCTCTCACTCAAATGTCTCACACAGTCACAAGGGACTGGCCAATCTTCCAGGACCCGCGTGGCCTTTCGATGCTCCTCCGAATGCTTTCGGGGACTGACTCGGCACACCTTCACACACCCCGATTTGAAGTTACCAATCACTTGCCAAGGAACCAGGGTTGTGCGAACTTTTGTGGGGAGGTAAAGTATGGAATTCCTTAAAAGTCAGCAGCGAACAAAAAATAACAGTGATTTGCCTGTGTCTCGAAATCGGAAACCAGTTTGCTTTTTGCTTCCCTGTGGAATAAATCCCTCAACAAAACCACACTCGATTTAAAATTGCCTCTTTGTTTTGCGTTATAGGGATCAGCTCCAGTTTCGACAACCGCTGCAACAGTAGCAAGAATAATTGCTCCAGCTTTGCCTTTCAACATGCTTGACTTTGGTCCACCCCCCCCCAGCCTCTACTTCCCGCTCTGCGGCCTCGATTCCAGGGCCTGGCATCGATTTGTTGCGGCCGAAGTCGACTTCCGGGGCGTGCGCCGAAATTGGTACAGATGGGCCTGTCACTTTTGAGCAGTACGAGTGGGACAAACCCAAAAAAAGGGCTTCACCATCTTGATACAAACTCACTGGGCCCGTGGCGCACGGAGCGGATGTACCGTTGCCTGGGCAGGCGTCCCTACGAGCGAGCGACGAGCCCCATCACAGGCTACCTCAAACAGGCAAAGCTCACGATCTCCCCACCTGCTGTTGGCATATTCGCGGCACTTAGCAAGCTTTCCTTCGAAGTTGGGCTCCTGTGCCATGCGTCTGAAGCACCTCCCCGAATGCATGCCTCCTATGCGCACATGTAAAATGTTGCAAGCTTGCGCACAGGTGCATTGCCGTCCTTTGATTCGATCTGCCGTCCTTCCCTCAGCACGTTTCATCAACTGATGCATGTGCATCCGGGGTTCCCCAAATACACTTCAACTCAGAAGCGGTTTATGCTTTCAAAGCAGAAACCGCCTGGTTTTGGGTATATGTGGGGATGGCCGAAAAACGCCTCCTCATGGGGAAGCTTCGGCTGGTCGCAACGGTGACAATTCTTGTGCCGTGACTTCCCCAAGGCTGCAGGATTGATTTTTCCGATCGCGCAACCGACGTGCGCGAGACAAATTCCCAGTGGCATCTTGAAAGATGAGAAATGAATGCCAGGTTCCAAGCCTTTGGAGGTCCACAAGGAATCGCCCTAGACTGCATCAACGGCTGTGCCAACTCAGGGCCCTGTCCGCGCCACGCCTGCATTCATCTCACCCGACAGGCGAAGGCAAAACACGGCAACAGTCTGCACTCGTTGCATGAAGGCACAGCGCTGTGCGTGACTCTCATTTTCTCCTTTGCCTCTGCGCCGGAAATAAGCTGTCTGAGCCCAGGCTTAAGGATTCAACGCCCCAACTAAGTCGTTCTGCACAATTCGGTCAAAAGCAGCATGCAGCCGAGCAATTGTTGTTTAACACCTTAAAGAATGCAACACCTCACTTCCAGGACGCAGGCCATTCCTTTATATAAAGCCTGTCACAGGCCATAAATTAATGCATCACCTGAAGGCCTTTGGCCGCAAGTTCCAGAGTAGCAACAGGACACGGCTTAACGCGAGCTTCCGCTGGTGTCCACGAATTATGCCGCAGTGATGTCCATGGCAATGCGCAGCTAGTTGCAGGGGGTGGCTACGCAAATACTAGTAGCAACTGAAAACGACTGGGGGTCAAGAGGGGAAGAGGGGATGGCTAAGCTGGCAACATACATTCACACACCTCCCTTTCAGCCATCATCACAGTCTGCCAGGCTGATGTCATAATGCAGCCTTCCGCTGCAGAATTCCTGGGATGTTGATGGTGCGAGGCCACTTTCCAGGTTAGGTGTCTCCAAATGGGGGCAACCCTAAAATAAGTGATTTCCACTTGGATGTCAATTTTCAGCATCCCCAAACAGCTACCCTTAAAAGAAGATAGGCATGCTCAGTTGGGGGTTCGCATGGCATCCATCCCCCAAGTTGCGCCAAGAGGCACATTCGCAGGGTTTGTGGGGGCGACGCTCATTTAAAGCCTGGCCACTGGTGAACCGGCTGCCTCTTCAGCCCATAGTAGGGTGTCTCTCGAAACGGGGCGGCCTAAGAATGGTGTTCTTGTGATGTCCCCTTTTCAGAAAGCCTAAGAAAGGCCCCCGCCCCACCCCGCAAAAATAAAACATATCCTAGCGGCAAATGCCGGACATGGCCAACGTGCTTGCAGAAGGATTGAAGGATTTGCCAACACTTGAAACCGGCAACCAAGGCATCCATCTGCCGCCCTCAGCAGATTGGCCAGCCTCCCACATGCTTCGCAAAGGTGGCTCGACTTGGCGATGCCGATGCCTTGCGGGGGCGCCTCCCCCCCCACCCGCACCAAAAAGTGATCGATCGTATCTGAAAGGGGCCACACTTTCATCAATCAACCTGGGGCCTAAAAATAACAAAGGCCTCGAAGCCTCCTGTGAAGGCCTCTATCTTGATTCCTTTGTTGTGTGGCATGTGGCTATGGCAGGTGCTCAAGTGGCGGGCGTGCTCATTGTTTGTGTGGGTGTGTGTGCGTCATTAGCCCGCTTGGGCATCTATGTTCCAAGAATACGCTCTTCGGCGATTCAAGGCTGAGAAGCTTACATGCGT